CAATGACCTTTAATGCGGCCTGATTTTCTGCTCCTATACTATTTAATGTGCGCGCCAAAACGAAAAGGAAATGTTCTTTTTTCGTACCTATATAATATTACGTTAGTCACGTGTGGATAATAATGACTATGATATGGTGATAATACTATGATATTATAATAGTGACGTCTTAAATTTAAATAACAAAAGTTATATTATTACATTTTAGTGTGTATAATAATATACGCCAACGTCATTTATGATTGTTTCTATAATTTCGTATTTTCACATTGGATTGCATTAACATGATAAAGACGTATACCTACCTATTGTAATGTTTTTAAGATTAATTTTATTTTTTATTAACCATAGCTGAAGAAATCGATGCCATAAAACTTATAGAAACCATTACCGTTTGTTATAAACACCAATCAAATAATTTATGAAGGTGATTTTAGTTTGAAAAAAAAAATGAAATGTGGTATAGCAGTAGGCAGGTAACTGTAAGTAAGCATTATTAATTTAAAAGAGTTTGTGAAAATTCTGGTGAACGGTGAATAGTATAAGTAAATTTAGAACCTATATTACGTAATATTTTAAAATACATGTATAAGTTTTAGTTACGTATATTATGAATTACGAATGAATGTTAAATTGAATTATATTATAGTTGTATTTTATGTGACGAAACGGAATGCAATTTTATCAGTATATTATTTACATTTTTCGTCAAATTGTGAATAATTTTATTATAAAAAAAAAAATTAAGTGAAAGGTATAATACATAATATTGTCTGAACAGTAAACTCTATAAGTACGTATATAGTTTGTTAGAATGCTTAACAGTTAACCTTGGGCCCACAAATGTACGTACATAACCCGTAATATTGTACAATTATTTTCACGTTTATTATTTTGGCATAACACGTTAGGTTACTTACACGATACTATAATCCAAAAATACCATAGAAAAGTTTTAAAATAATTAAATTCCAGACATTTTAAAAATACGTTCATTGCCTGTGTCGAGTTTCATTAAATCGACTTAATTTAATTACACAAGCTGAGTAAATATTGAATTTGTTATGTCCAATTACCGATATCCAATTATAATAGGGGTTGAGCATTAACTGGGATTCTCTCCGGTTTTTATTATAATATTTTTAATGAAGTTCTAAACCGTAATCGTCCAATGTTTTTATTGGAACAAAAATCGTATATTATATTGCTGTGGAAAGCAAAAATTAATAACTTCCACTTCATTATTATTCCGGTTGCGTTTTAAACGAACGCCAACAAACTATATATTAAACTATTCCCACGGGATTACACCATAAACATTTCTGTAGACAAAATTATTAATTAAAGAAACCGCCCGCGGGAAAGACACCATATACCATATAAACGCGGATTTTGAAATAATGTGACATTTTTTTTTATGTGCGTACTGTGTCGTAAGTCAAAAATGTATTAAAGTATTATTTTACATTGTTCTATGGGCGTTTCAGAAATAACAGAAAAAAATTAATATCAAAATCTCGATCTCGCATCATAACTGACCATAATGAAATTTCAAAATATCAACAAAATCAAAAAAAAAAATCTAGGGATCTACATTTCAAAAAGATTGTATGTGTTAAAAATCGGAAATCGTTTCATTATTAAATAGTTTCCTGTTTCTTCAGTAAAGTTTTAAGGACGCCTTGCCGGTGTGATATTTATTTATATATAATTTAAATGCGTACATAAAAACCAATCGACTTTTTAGTGTTTATGTCTACGAAATAACAAACCATATGGGAACACGGAGATAATTACTTAACATTCACAATAAATAAGCATAGGGTGATGCACGGTTCGTAAAATAATGTAACGATATAGTAGCATAAAAGATTTGAGGCCAAATATAATCATCATTACAGTAATAAATTTTTAGGCCACATTATTGATCGTGATATTATTTAGACGCCGTTTTTGGATTTCGAGTCAATATAGTTCGCTGTGATGACGCCGACCGGGGAAGTGGGAATGTTTTATCGTCACAGACGCGGCTGTGGTTTTGTTTTTTTTTTAATAAAGCATCGACTCGAAAAAATGTTGTACGAGTCCCGAAGACGAAGAGGCATCGATGAATTATTAATGGCACTAAAATAAAAACGAGATTTTCATCGCCAGCGGAGGGTAAAGAACTAAAACCTTCGGCGGCTCAGCGAAGAGTTGTAATTAACCGCCGCCGCCTCCCCTCGTGTACACATAGATATGTGTGTGTGTGTGCATGTGTGTGTATTGCACGAAGAAAGAATAAGGGCATTGCACATAATATACACACACTTGTGTGAGTATGTGTTTGTGTGTGTGCTATAACAAATACGGCGGGGACAAAAGGCGAACCCTAATTGGACCGAATATACATTTTACTCTCATTCCGTTTTTAAATGACCCTTAGCGAGACGAGATTATGTACTATATATATACTAGTTGAAACGGGAGAGAAAACACGAGCGAAATTTCTCAGCGCTTTTATAATAACAATAATAATACATGTAGTATGATATATAATATTTATTATTATTATTATTATTATTATTAAATCGTAATACAATATTTATATTTTATAATACCACGATTCCGTATAAATAATACTTTTGAATAAAACAGTATAATTTTGTCACCGTCGGTCCCAGAGTGTTACTGTGACTCGAACAATTCCTAGTGGAATCAATGTTATACCGAAAATCTAGCTGCAGTGATTCGCCATTTGCGACACGAAACAATCCAACGGTTTTAATGCGATTAGAGAGGGCGCATGGAAGTGAAACGACGATATACCATATTATTATTATCGTCATCTGCACTACCCCCGCCGTGATGGATTCTCGACAAGAGTTCACGTCACGATCGACAGGGTATTATAATATGATATAATAATATTATGATCGAAGTCGTCGAGGCGGCAATCAATCAGTATAGGTAGGTTATTTAATCGGAAACGTATACTGCAGCGCCGTCGTCGTGTAATCGTCACAATATACAACTCGCACGTCGTACTCGAAAAGCACAACAATGATGAAAATAATAATAATAGTAATAATACCAATAAATGTTATGCGTACAACTATACAATGGTGTGCTGTGTACAACACACACACGCACACACACACAATATCGTACACGGTACAAGCGTATATTAAAATAATAAAATATGCTATCGCGGGGTCACACGCTGCATTAGACGGATAGCCCCCGACCACACCGCTAGTGTGATTATATTATACTATATTATAATATGATATGACGTAATGCCGTCTCGCGAGCGTTTTTAATTTTACCAACTGCTCAATATATTATAATAATAATAATAATAATAATAATAATAATATTACACTGTCACCGCAGCCGCCGCCGCCACTGGTAGTCAAATGATATTATTATTATTATTATTATTATTATTACTATCATTATTACGCTGGCGGCGGTCGCTACCGCAATGACCACGCCGCCGCCGCGCGTAATATATTATTTAATTGCACGGGCTCCTGGCCAATTAATTATTATTACAATCTATGCGTTTGATGTGTCGCGTTTGTAACGTACGTACGGACGACGAGCTGCAGTGGCGTCCGCACAAGGACGATTAACACACATTATTATAATAGCAAGACGTACACATAATAGGTATGCGATGTGTCATTATATCATAAAATAATGTACGTATAGCGAGTACTGTGCCGTTGACCGTCCGTCGTCCGAATAGGACGAAAACAATACCGCGTGAGTCGTGATCATCGCCACTTGTTTTTCGAAAATAAATAGTGAACCCGACAAGAACCCGAAAAATAGCCCATATGCAACCTGTTTAAAACAAGAAAATATCGCGGACGTTGAAATTGATTTGGGTAAAATACTAAAATCCCAGTCGATAGAGATAATGTTATGATACTAGGAGTATGAACCGTGTGGGTAATTTGTGTGTCGGTAGCTCCGGCGCATGCGTAGGTACTATACCTACTATGACATGAAAAAATGGAATTTAACATAAATATTTCAATGCAAAACCACCTTGTTTAGTTTTCCGTTAGTTTAACTTCACGCTAGTCAAAATAAAGTTTCTAGAGATATTAGTCCGCAGTGTGTTATATATATATATATATATATATAAAAAAAAAACTATAATGCATGTTATGTCAATAATTTGATAACAATGTTAACCTAAATTAAATTCATTCATAACCATGATTTAGATACTGAAGAAAGTTTAGACTTACTGGAAGATACATATTAATATATTATGATTGTAATATTACATAAATTAGATGATAAAAATTAGATATACCTATACCTAACCTCGTGCGTAGATCTCTCTATTAATTATTAATCAATATTTATTTTTAGGTACAGATATATTGCACTAAAGAACTTATATAATATGTATACATATACAATTTTTATAAACAAGACAGTCTTATTGATTCTTTCGGAGCATTATTTTCGGAAATTATTAACTTTTTCCGAATATTTTGAACTGTTCTTAAACGGTAATTGACGGATACGATGGCAAGCATTCGGGCAATAAATCAGGGTGTAATTTAGTTTTTACTCTGTCCATAATCTCCAGGACGCATATATTATTATGAGCTACTCGGGGGCACAAATGGGCTACACCTAATGATGTTATACAGCCGTTCTGATTTCGGACTCCGTACAGTCAACTTATGGCATAGGTGGGTATGCACCACATATATAGTTGCATGCACACACTTAACAAACTTAACAAATTGTGAGTGCTTGGGATCGTCGTGAACAACATATTATAACCATTATATATATATATGTTATAATTGACTCCGAGTGCACTGGACTTGTATGGAATCTATTGTATAAGGATCGCGAATAACCTGCAAAGGCCTCGGCATTGTCGTGTCCCCCAAACATTTTATTATTATGACGACGGACGTGGGTGGTGAATTTAATGTTTAAATATGTCATAATACTAGGATAATAGTATCGGCTCGAGTACTTACCGATGCGCGATGGTAATATGTTGTATGGAACGGTGTCTTCGAGTATTATCGATCACACCATTATTGTTGCTGTCGTATAGCGTGTGCGATTACAACTCATTCGAATATATATAATATAATCGCCGACAGACCTGCGAACACAACATGTCAACATATAAGACATTGTATTATTGTATACCGAAAAGGATTATGCCAACATACACCATCAAAATGTAGTAATAAGTGCCTCATACAAATATGAGTGTGTGATTGCGAATGATAACGTTATATAAACTATTATATCAAAGGCTACGTTGCAAATGATTTCACCGGGGATGATCTGCAGCATACATGCAGTATTTTTAAGTAGATTGAAATTAGAATTGAAATTTTAAACTGTATATATATTGATGTAAAAATTAAACAGACATTTTTCCTGATTAGCTTTGAAATGTTTTTAACGAGCCGATCTCATAAATCGATCAGCTGCAGCAGTGACGCGAGAGGACTTTAGTGGCACAAGAAGGGGTTCTTTCGGCTGGCACTGTTCCAAGGGTTGGATTTCAGTCCATTGTCTTTAAGCTAACAATATTGGCTTGTTCTTGGTATGTACACATGCACACACCAACAACCGAGCAGTCCGTTATTGGCCGGGAGTGCTCTCGCATGTATAATAATATATTAGAATATAATCCAAATGTGGAATAAAATAATAATAATATGTTTTGTTTGTCAGATGTACGGTTATTTACAACCTCTACAAGCCGACGGGAGAAGAGAAGACGACTCTAGACCGCAGAAATGTATAATAATATTGCACACACATAAAGACGGTAAAACTGTTTTTATTATTTTTAATATCGTTATCACGTCGAATCCCAAAGACTGTGGCGGACTATATATAGCGTATATAATAAATAAAATCCGCACATAAATCGCCATATGTCTGAGTACGAGCGGATTTTTATTATTATTACTGTGGTGTTATTATTGCCGTTGTCGTAGTCTACACTATATATGCTCTTTGTCTTATCCGTGATTTCCATTCGCACAGCACTCTTCGATTCAATGCGAAGCGAATATGCTTTATGCACCCACTAGACCGTATACTGTATTATACACTTTATAATGTTCACTTCGAGATAGATAAAAGACGAAAGAGAGATTAGGGAACAACATTGCACTGGTGGTGGAAGAGATATGAGCTGCTTGACTTCGAAGCTGTGACGTAGATTCAAAAATTACAATTCATTAGTCCTCGAGAGAACTCCACCACACACCACACACCACACACCACACGAAACAGATAAAATTGACTTTTCCATAGCGGAAAGGCCAATTTTTAAGATCAATAGAGTCAAGTTCACTGCTGCAAGATTTGGGCCCACTACACCACGTAATTTCGTCTAGTCGTTTAAAAGTTATTGAAATTAAACGAATGTAACAAGCAAATTGAATCATGGTAAAAATATGTCTTGTATCATCTCGTAACCCCCTCAAGTATTTTACAATTTTTTTCTCTGTGATAAACAAGTTGTTCGAACAATAATATTGTAATCGGGCCAACGACCTACCTATGAAAAGTTTCTTCAATATTATTGAACCTTATTTGGTTTCTTATAAGATTTCGGCGTGAGCTCTATGAAAATTGTTTTAAAACGTCCACCTCGTGTATAGATACCAATATCAAGCTAAATATTTTATTCCAGATCTTGGAAATCGTGGCGAAAATGAATTATGAGTCTCGCATTCATTAGAAAAGTTTTTAAAAAAACCGACACGAAGGACGCGTTATAACCGCCTACCATACTGTAAGTACCTATATGTCATATGTTGCGCGTAAACTTACTATGTACTATGAATGTATACATCGATACATCATTATACTATTTCCGGTTTTATGTTTGTAATTAAAAATATACATTGGTACGAGTTAAGTCTCTTTCCATAAGTAGAAACTCAAATGTGTATACAGCAGAGCAGATGCAGCCGTCAGCCATAGGCTAATAATACAACAACAGTTTAAAGTATTTGCGTGGTTGTACCGAGGTACATTGGTTCGCCTCAGCAGTTTCAATAATAATTCTCTACAAAAAATTAAAGCGTCGTGCAAATATTTTGAGGTATTTTTTATGCGATGATATGATTGAAAGCAGTCTCCGATATTATTGTAGAAAACAAAAGAATATACGGAATTACCATCTAAATGGCGAGTGACGATAATATAATATAATACTAAAAATTTGTATTATTTAATAATATATATATTATATATGATTATAAAACGTATTTCGTTCTACAGTAGTGTAATATTATACACTGACGTCGAGATAATTGATTTTAATAGTGATCAAATATGCAATTAAGCGAGACCTATTTTAATTAAACGCCGTTCTCACACTTTGCCGACGTTAAGCAAATTAGTTTTTGCAAAGTAATTTAAATAACTCGGAACATAATGAATTATCATATATAATATTATACAGATGCGATTGAAGGTTACAATGCACGCGCATAAATATGAATACATTATTAGAATGTTATTGATGAATTGCATTTACGCAACTTTTCTATTGCACTCCTAAAATATTTCACATTTGAATATCAATACACATGGTATGTGTACCCGCGCGGTACATACATGCAAGAACTGTAACAATACTATCAAGCATACGATAGTTTCATCCATATGGCATGATGTATCTATTTCGAACGATTCTATCACGTCATATTATTAGATCGTCGATGGCTAAATCGTTAATATTTTATGGTCAAGAGATTTTTTTTTCTTTTTCATCTCGGATTCGAATTCAAGGAGACCGAGTTGTCCACAAATTAATTTTAATATTATTCACCAGGAAAGTTAAATGAAAAATAATGTGTAATTTGCACGATATGAATCTTTACTTGTGAAGTATTATTATGATTCATTTGCCCTTGAGGACCTCAATCGACAAAGTGTCTTTAAATAACGAATTGGCTATATATTAGTATATGTTTCTGTTTCTAATTTTCTGCGTCCTAAGTTGGGAGATATTTACGATTTTACACTTTAATGGGTTAGTGAATAATAATATTAGATAGTATGGTTATTTCGAAACAGCTGGGCATTGGTCCATACTCCATTGTACTTATGTCAGTTGTGTACAATGTGCAGCATTAATATGTATTTATATTTATCACTGTAGAGTCAATAAAAATATTCGAAATAAATCAAATTACACTGTGAAAATATATTCTCTGTGGCACCCTGGTACATAATACAATTAAGGATGAATGATTATGGAAACAACATACTATTAGAATAATAAGTAATAAACCATATTTCATAAATGTCCAGAAGATCATGTGGAACTACATTTTCTTGGGGCGATTTCAATAAAACATGTTCAACATTTTTTCTAGGTTTAAGTAGAAACGACGCAGCATTTGTCACAACCAGCAACTTTGTTTAGCAAACAACGTGCATGAGAACATTTTTCTAAACATGATTCAATTTGTTTGTTTGTACTACTTGAAAGCGAAGCTTAATGAATATGTTTATACTAAATATACATTTTTGGTTAAAAAATATTTTTATAACAATAGTATTAAATTCAAAATTAGTATGCATTATAATTAAATGGCATTGAATAAGCATATTATCTTGCTTAAATGATCTCGGTACCTATTCCATATATACCAATTTTCAAAAATCGGCTTGTATGCCTGACTACGGCTAACTATAGTTAAATGTTCTATGTTACTATTTTATTTTATATATAAATTTTAAATGATAGCAGGTACCTGTATTGGAAACATTTCAATATTCAGTAACATTATTTTGAATAACAGTTTTTAATTAATTTGAAATCAATGACACGACCGTATAAAATACAATATTATCATTAAAGGACAACTATTAAATTAACTTATAAATTGAAAAAACCAATCATCATAGTCCAGTTCTAGTATTATGTATAGTTTTTAAAAGAGGGAAAAGTTTTCTCTGGAGTCGAAATAAATAAAATAAGCACTTTAATTTTTTTTTTTTTATCTAGATAGTTTTCAGTAGAAGTTCGAACAATTCAGTTATAGTATAATTAAGTTAAAGTTCTAAATTGCTAAATAATATTGACATGGGGTATTGTCACGGGTACACGTCTTATAATATATTATATGTATACCTAGTGTATATACATAATCCAATACTATAGCTAGTCCACTAACGAGATTAGAATTTAAGAACAATACAGTCTTTATTCGACCTTTCATTCGAAATCACGGGAAAACGGTCGGAGGAGAGTGGTTCATATATTTCACCCGGAATGAATTTTCACTTCAGCGCAGCATACCTTGAGTTGTTAAATAAAACCAGCGAAATTTACGACTCACTATTCAATCTTTATTACACCTTACACGCGTAACCACACTCGCGCGTAGGTATATATATTATTCCAAACCTTTATATATATATATATTTATGATAAAAGCTGGTCCGTTTAAAAGCGAAACTCGCGTGCCCTTAAAACACTTGGCGAAAACTTTTTCGATTTCCCGAACTTTTTCACTGGGTCAATATTCGATTGTGGTCTTACACGATTGATCGTGTGCTCTCTCTCCCTCTAGACATATATGGTGATGTATAGCGTTTAGCGTGTATACGTGTATACAGAACTTCGCAAAGTTTTACCCGAGCGAACGCGACCGCTATATTATAGTATACGGTTTTTGTTTAGTCCGTTTTAATGTTCCCCATCACGACATTTTGGTTTCTTAAAGGTTTATTGTTTGCAGTGCTTCCGTTCACTTCTGCCGCGGTGGCGTGTTACAAACGTTCCGTACCTCGTATTATACGACTGATTTTTCACACCGAAAACCAAAGTTTGGAATAGATCAGACGATAAAACATCGACTCGCAACACGGTGGATTCGTGAATATTGTGTCGGAAAACCGACGGCGAGTGGCGGTCATTACAATATATTGTAGTGGCGCGAAATGTAACTGCTGCAATTATAATGCAAGTCCTCAGCGGCGGGCAACCCGGTCGGCCGGGCCTGTTGTTGCTCGTCGGTGCACTGCACTCATCGCCGCAAATCGCAACACGATGTTTTATTCATTCGTGAAATGGCGATGGAAAAAATACATAGTGTACATGGATAGGTGCGTATTATTATTATTATTATTAGTACGCGCGTAGGTGTAATAATTTACTATTCAAAATTATTAACGGATTCACAGCAAAACGCGTATTTCGCTTCTCGTTCTCTTTTGTCGCTGCACCGTGTTATAATCTGCCACGACAATAACAATTATGACCGCATTGTACAAAGAACGTAATTATCACGCCCCGATGACGTCACTGTATTTACGTATAGGTACGTATAGTGTATATATAGGTGTATACTGTATAATGTATGTATACATATATACATCTGAGTGTGTACCACCTATTATTGACTATATATGTGACACTGTGTAGATATATACAAGCCATGTTGGACCAGTGTTCGTGGTGGCATAGTAATATGGGCGCGAAGGATGCGCAGTCACAGCCATTACGATTTTCATTTACGTATAATGCCACAATATTACGTAGGTACCTATACGAATCGATATATTGGGTTCCGAGAGAACATTTTTAAATTTCGAGCATAGTTGATGCGAGCGAGAAGCGCGCGTCAGACACACAGTACACGAAATAGAGCGAAATAAACAATACGCAATATTAGCTCATATTATTAATTATAGCGGAGTTCCTACATAAATATACACGTCGTATATTATGTACAGTGTCTAATCGCGTGTCGGTCCTCGAACACAACATTAAACACTCACCCTCCCATCGACTGCCTCTAAACTTTCATACCGGCATTACTATTTGAATACTAAATGAAAATCAGTAATTCAGCTTTGAAAACATTTTACATAAATTAGCCCCTGTATAATATGACGTGTACCTTTATTAGCCGTCTCAGATTTGTAAGAAACAACAAAACAGATATTTTAATTTGTAAATTTTGAGCTTTTACCTTTTTATAACGATACTGGTTTTTACAACGTTTTCCGAGAAATGTTGACAAAAATAAATATGTCTAACAAGCTGTGGCTGGATTTAATCATATAATAATATATGCACATTGCACATGGTCTTCAGACATCTACTGAAAACGTTTAGAACTTCTATTTTTTATTTGGATTTAAAAAATATTTATGTAAGTAGGTATTATACCTAGTATAATACTACTATGCTTCGATTACATGAAATTTATAATTGTTTTTAATGGATAAACATAAAATGTAGCACGTTTTTTTTACCGAAATAATAGTTTTTTCTTCAAAATAACATAATAATATGAATTAAAATACATATTTTCGGTGTGCGTAAAAATTAGGAAATGCATTAATAATGTTACGTGTTATGAAACCTAGGTGAAACTAAACGGCAGTGATCGGGTTATTAGTTAAGACGATGGCAACATATACTCGAAAATAGTATATTGTATTAAAATATTATACAGTTGTAGAGTTTTACTTACGAATTCTTGTTTGAGTTTTATTTCGTACAACATATTTTGCTCGGTAAATATCATTATGCAGGTACACGTCATCAATTCCTGAAAAAAAAAAAAATAAAATTAAGTGCCGGTCTTGTAATAATAATTATTGTATAAGTGATTATTCTACGAGTTATTCAAGTCGGATACAATTTGCAATAATAATATGCACATTATTGCGACAATATTATAACACACCCGTAAACGGCATAAACGTAATGGGTACACAACATCAAATCATCATAATATTACATTTAACCGATTATGTGTGCCGTGTGGGTATATAATCAACGTTATCTTTATGTAAGAATACGACATAATATATATATGCGATCAGTTCACGTTCACGAGATCCCCTGGTCAGTGAAATCTTCAAAATATCGTCTGACACGACGTAATAATACAATTAATGTGAGTATAATATATTCGTTTGGTGTGTAATAAAATATGATAAATAATAATTATTACAATACTATATTCGAAATGTCTCTCACTGGAAGATTATTGTTCACTACGCGATTCGTCTCCTCTTTTTTCTATCTCTATGTCATCACATTCGCTTATTATTGTCCCTCTTCGAGTGACCCCCCCCCATATTGTCGAAAACATTTTTAAAAAAAAGGGTTAATACATCTAATAATTCTATAGCTATGTACAAGAAATACATTGAAAAGGATCGTTGCCGTTTCCCTCGAAAATAAAACATAGCGTGGGCATAGAACGCGTCGCTTGCAGACGATCGGAATCGGACGTATTTTTTTTCTCGCCAGCCGAAAGCTTTCGGGCCACCGTCGACGCTAAGACGCTATAACGACGTAAGATATTGTCGTACAGTGTAACGGCTAAAAAGCACAGTACAATAAAATGTATTGTTTTATGCGTTTGCAATTCTGTCAGCACTGCGCAGAACAATATCACACGCGCCCGGTCGCATACATACTGTTATCACTATTGTTATTGCTTTAGCCTCGTTCGCCCGGAGATGCGTATCCGAGCACTCGTAAGCCCCGGGGCCAGAAAATGCCCCGTGTTCGCGCTAATGACGAACACTCGACCTGAACCCGACTGCAGCAGACGATTCCCACACCGTTCGCGTCACGATCTATGTATATTATTACAATGCGTACCTATACAGTATAATATATTATATTGTGTACCTGGGTATATATTATTATAAAGTGCAACAACGCAGCAGCAGCGGCAAGCGGGTGGCCCGCGATCACGGACCCGATGTATAAATCGCGGTGTCAATATATTACGTGATAAACGGTGAACGTATTACAGTGTCAAAGGTATATTGCAATGATGGGGGTGACCACGCAATGATCACGCATTAATACAATTATTAAAACGGGACAAACAGTTTTTTTGACATTGATCTGTACGAAAAAAAGACCTCTGATCAACGATTACGCTAATAGAACTGTAAACCTCAACGTCTTCATGAAAATGTACGGCTCTGCGTAGACACGAGTCGTATACGGCGAGCTATATTAATCCAATGGCGTTTATTGCGGATTCGTGCTCATAATGTTATATAGGTGTTGGCTATACTGAAATTCGACAGGAAAGAACCGCTTCTTTTGAAATCTCAAAATATGATTAAAAAAAATGTATGCATAGTATATGACAATAGAACGCACAACTCGGTGGAGCCGAGGCGGTACTTACAGCAGCTGCAGGTGGCGAAGATGTTCCCCGATAGAAGTGTCGAATTTGTATTTCGTGTTTTTTATTTTCTTCGTAGATACGAGCAACTAAATTATTTTAATTAAAATAGTGTTCAGAAATACGCCGATAAGGAAACGTACAATGGAAACATACTGTTTTTGAACTATAAGAACGAAATAGGTAATCGACTTTCGATTACAGTTACATTCAATGCGATTCAGTCGTCTCTTTTAACAAACTATATTTCTGTGCGGATCAGAGTCCATATTATGATGACCATCATTTTATTCTGCTAGGCACTACATTTTTTTTTTCCAAAAAAATATTGTATCAACGACGGAAACTTACCAAACCGGAATGTGATGACGATAACCGACTATTTTCGTGCCTTTCAGCCAATAGAACTTTAAGTATGCATTGAACAAACATTAATGATGTAGGTTGCATTACCGATCTAATGGTATTCTATTATCTGTATTTTTTTTAGTTGGTTGTTGAAAAAACTAAAAAAAAAGCAAAGAAAATCGGCCCGAACTATCTAGGCCGGATGATGATGACGTAAGCGAGTCGAACGTATTTACATATTACCCAGAGGTGTTTATACAACAATAATTACTCATATAATATGTCAGTATAGTCGATAGGTTTCGAGGAAAGTGTGGGGCACCGTGGAAGGGAGGTGTGGTTTTGAACTTGCAGTGTACCTAAATCACACATACTACTGATAAATTGTGTTCAATACGGACATCCGATTCGGTCGGTCTTGATGTTGAAACAACTTACTACGGTCGGTGATGAACAATCGTGAAGGTCGCACGTCGTCAGTGATACCAATATTCGTTTGTTTATCGTGTCACACGAAAAACGAATTTCGATCGAAACGAGCGCCGAACACGAGGCGAAACCTGCAGCGCTCGTTGGGCGTCAATGGAAAACATTCGTGTCCCACGACAGTATCGCAATAATGTAGAGGTATAATATCATAAAATGAAAACAGTATTAAATGCGACGAAAACAAATAAAAACGAAGAGCACAGTGACAAAAAATCAAACCGCCCGGTAGCCTAACCTATAATAATACGCTGTTATGATATTGCCACCTATACCACGCGTGTATTTCGCGTGCATCGATATTGTTGGCGCGGATGGTTTTTTTGAACATATTTATTATATTTGACTGTACACAATGCATAATAGCATATTATATAGGTACACGGCTGCAGTCGTAAACACGTGCCAGCGATAAACGACAGTGCATATTATTATATATTAGATTATACAGGGTGACAACATGTCTGCACGCACTCCCATCTCATGCATGCGAATTCTAGTTTCTGGTATTTGAATTGTTTGAGCATACTCGAAGAACCGTTACACAATATTATATTAAAATACTTGAATGCAGTTGCATGAACCCAATTGCGTTCGAATATGAACCACCCGATTTTTCATCAGCAGTTCAGGAGAAGATTTTTGTTGAACATGCCCATTGATATAGGTACTGTATGAATCGGAATGTGAACGAAAATCGTCTTGAGTTGTTAAACTCGGAGAGACTATATCATTTTAGGGACAATAATAATGTATTTCGCGCGATGGTGTGTTTAGACGATGTGGGGGCATGATGGTGATTTTAAAATTATAGTAAATAACATAGAATATAGATTGAATTGTATAATTTATTGAGTTGTGCGAGTATAATCACTGAACATAACATTTATTTTATAATTCATGAAAAACCGTTATACGAATGATTATTGTTTTCACTGCACAAACTTAGTCGGAAACTATTCGTTCGAGTTTTGATTCAAAGTGTTCAAAATAATAATCCGATTGACGATTTACAATAAAAACGGTTGGTTTCCTAAAAAAAGACGTGTGTATCGCCGCTGGATAATATTTATACTTAAAAGGTATACAAAATCTATGTACCTGCATAAATTGGTATTGGAAAAATGCATTATTAACGGTCAAAAGGGAGAGTATGGTCGGTAAATTGTCCGATGTATTGTATTATATTATGCTACAACGTATCTACGCGGCACACTCAGACCTCCGTTACCGAGCGAAAAAAATATCAATATTTAATAATCGTGAAAACGCAAGTGCGACGATGGTGTATGATACGCAGGTATATTGCATATAATCATGATACATAGGTCATAAACACTTACATATCATCCGCTGCAATATAATATAATCATAGAACAATAATATAATATTACCTACATATTACAGGTAATACGTACATAGTATAATATCATTATATAATAAATGTAAAATACCTACGCCGATCGCGGACACTATACCGCGTATATAGAACCTATATATTGCGTACTCGTATTGAGATAATGAAGTTATTATATTTTTATAAACCCAATAATATACGAGCGCGTGTATCATGATAGTATTGTGTGATGCGGAACGGAAAAAGTCGTTTGAACATAATATTATTAGATATTATTATTATTATTTAAAAATTACGATTATTAGTTATTAGTTATTACTTATTACCATTGCAAACGCGACGTGTGCGTGTGCGCACAATTTACAGCCTTGCATTGCGGTTAACCGCTCGTCGTCCGTTTAATTGAACAACCTTGACCGTCCTATGGTCGCCGTTCGCAACAGTACAAAATATAAAACTGTGCCTGCTGTGCGAAAACGAGCAGAGTGAAAACCGAAAAATAAATTGCACTTTATGCGAACAAATTCGTAAAATTCTAACTCCGTTCCGGTGAACGCCGTGTGGTGGTATATACAATAGCAATGACCTAAACGTACAGTCTGTGCTGGCGGACACGTACCCTAAATAATATTATAAATGTATATTTTATTATGTAGACCTACTCTCGTAAAAGCGCGAATTCTAGCAGGTCAAATCGTCCCGACTACATAATAATATGGCATTGTGATGATGATATTTTGTTCCATTTATGAACGTCGGCTACGGATATCGGGCTCTCGACATTTGGACGGGTTTCACGCTGACATTCCCCAAAGTTTCATTGTTGTTAAATAAAATCACGACGCTTTATAGTAGATTTTAATGAAATATTTCGTTAAAGTTTCGTAAAAGTTCAAATGACGGTTGAGTGATTCGCGTCAAGTTGTAAATGTAAATTACAATTACAAAAACTCATTGGCCAAGTTAATATTTGGTACGACCTGTTTTTCGGTCCAAAACACGTAACCCTTTTGACGGTTTCCAAATTGCAGTTGCAGTGGGGAGATGGGAGATGTATTTTATTTTTGGAAATGAACAATCAGTGCAATAGCACATAATTATAATAATGTTGCAACTGTACCTGCATTATTTTTTAATATTATAATATAACAGATAACACGGTTATAACCACTACCCTTAACTCTGCAAAAAGGTTGAAAAT